TAGCTGGTAACAAGTACTTTAAAAAGAGTTGAGCCGATTGTCATAGTTGACATTCTAGGTAATTTGTATACAAACACATTCATACCTCTGGAGAGCAAGGAATTCACCATAAACATTTGTATCCCAAGTACACAGTATGTGCTCTCAATATTTGTCTATCAATTTCTGATGGCATCTGGATCTGGATAGTAGCATTTCTTTCTTGCTTTTATACATCAGTGTGCATCCAGTGCCAACAATCACAGTTAACATGGCTGAATGCTTACTGTGTACCCACTCATTTACTCGCCATGGCAATGCTCTGGGTTGCATGCTATTTTATCACTAATTTTCAGATGGGCAAACTGAGGATTCCGTTTATAGCATGATGCGAAGGTGATGTTGAAACCCAAGCATTCTGGCACCAGAGTTCAGGCTCTTAACCACAATGCTGTCTCTCCACTGCCATGGCACGGCATGTAAACCCTTTTGATACCTGGTCTCCTCTTACTGTGTCAGATTCTTTTCCTGGCAGACCTTGGCCCAGTTTTTTTTTCCCCATTATATGGAACCCTTACTGGTTCTCTGGACACAATTCTCCTGTTCATGCTTCAATTGCCGGAGACAATATAGGATGCCAAATTAAATTTGAATTTCAGATAAACAATGAATGATGTTTTAGTATAAGTCATGTCCCAACTATTGCATAACACAAACTTATACTGAAAAAGAAATACTCATTATTTATCTGAAATTCAAACTTAGCTGGGAATTCTGTAATTTTGTTATTGTTATTTTTTTTTTTAACTAAACCTGGCAACCTTCTGCTTTAAGGCCTTTACTCAAAGAGTTCCATCTGCTTGGCAATTTTGTACGCCTTCTCCATCATGCACTATCTTGTTCATCCTTTTAAGTGTAATGCACAGGCCAGTTATCTGGTGAAAATGCCTCTAGTGCCTCGCTGCATTGTAAAAATCCATCACTGGCATTTCAGTACTGCCCAGCATTATAGACCAAACCCTAAGCTTTCCAAGGCAGGGCCCACGGACTCAGCTCTGAATCCTCAATAGCTGGTGAGATGCGTGGCATGGGGAAGGCATTCAATACGAAGTCATGAACAGAGCTATGGAGAATGCTCCCCAATTCTCCCATTCCCTGTTATAGATTTCTCCTTTATCTTGGAAATTCTTTGAAATGCACCAAAATTACTGTATAGAAATTGCTTCCCTCTATCTCTCTTTATTTATTTAAGACAGGGTCACACTCTGTCGTTCAGGCTGGAGTGCAGTGGTGGGATCACAGCTCACTGTAGCCCCAAAGTCCTAGGCTCAAAGTATCTTTCTGTATCAGCCTCCTGAGTAGCTGGGACTATGGGGGTGTGCCACCATGCTCAGCTAATTAAAAAAACAAATTGCAGAGACTGGGTCTCACCATGCTGCCCAGACTGGTCTCGAACTCCTGGGCTCTAGTGGATCTCCCACCTCAGCCTCCTGAAGTGTTAAGATTACAGGTGTGAGCCACTGCTCCCAGCCAAGAGTGTTTCTCCTTCTCACTGTGAGTAAAAGCTATCCGGCCACTGTAAATTCTCTGAAGCATATTAACCCTTGTATTAATCTCCTAGGGCTGGTGTAACAAAAGCTACAAATGAGGTGACTTAAAGCAGCAGGAATTTATTCTCTCACAGCTTAGAGGCTGGAAGTCTGAAATGAAGGTGCCGGCAGGGCCACACTCTCACTGAGGACTCTAGAGGAGGGTCTGTTTGATGCCTTTCTCTTAGCTTCTGGTGGCTGCCAACAATCCTTGGCTTTCCTTGGCTCGTAGATGCAATGTTCCAATCTCTGCCTCCATTGTCACATGGTGTTCACACTGTGTGTCCATACATCCTATTCTTTCTGTGCATGTCTGTATCTTTACATGACATTTGCCTCTGTGTGTGTGTCTCTCCTCCTTTTCTTATAAAGATACCAGCCACGTTGGGTCAAGGGCCCACCTTATTCCAGTACAATCTTATCTTAACTTGGATCATGATTACATCTGTGAAGATCCTATTCCCAAATAAGGGCACATTCCCAGGTACTCATGGTTAGGACTTCAACACACATTTTAGTGATACAGTTCGACTCACAATAACCCTAGACAAATGACTTCTCCACTCCAGGCCTCCATTACTGCATCTGTAGAACAGGCAAGATGCTGCCCACCTTGCTGAAGCCAGGGATGGAAGGAGATCATGCATAGTGCCTCCTGCATGGGAGAGCTGTGCCTATGACTTCTCTTCCTCATCCTTTCTAGTCCCCTCCTAGCTGTCTGCAGTATGAAATACTCACAGTAAAGGAAGTTCCAGCAGGTAGAGTTTTGGCTCACAGAGGCCAAACAGAAGCAAAACATTCTATTTGTTCCTTCAGAGCTCACTTCCTTCCAGCTGGAGGAATTTACTTTGTAGTGTGATCCTCTGCTTGACTTACTCTCGTCTATGTAGGACACAGGGGCTGGACATGTGAACTGACTTTATTAAAGGTCTTGGGTGATTCTAGGACACCAGGCCGAGATGTGTGTCTTTGGCTGTTTACCACTATCATGAATGGTTATTTTTTCATGGTCAAAAAAAAATAAATACATAAAAAGTGCCTAAAACCTATAGGGAATCAAGTTTCCGAACTCTGTTCTTGCGGCTGACTTCTGAATCACAGTGTTATAATTAAAAAAAGAAAACACTAAGTTGCACTTGGCCATGAAACATAAATTGTACCTCTGTAAAGGTCAAATACTAGTTCTGATTAAACAGACGAGTCACACTTTATCCTGGTTAAAACAATGCTGAATTTTAAGACTACTTATAGGATTCTACACCTCCCTACCCGACCCTCGTTCCTGCAGAAGTTTACAGTTGAAATCTTTTTTGAAGTGGGGTTTTATTTTTATTTCATTTTTTTTTTCAACTTGTGAGATGATTTCCATTGGTTTGGCAGTCTGCACTGGAGCAACGCTATAGAGCATTATCAGGGTGCCGACAGCTGCTCTGGCATAAACAAGCAGTGATGCACTGAGCTGGTACATCCGTATGGCTTGGAAAATAAAATGAAAAAACATAAAAACATTTGTTATCATTTGTGGAGTTTCTGAACACAACCAGCTTCAGCACAATGTTAATGCCTCGCATGGCTTTCTTTATAAAAAATAAGTAAATAACTTGAAACGAGGACATCGTGTTTCGCTAGGAAGAGTGGTTTACTGTGTGGACGGGGAGAGATGCCTCGGTTTCCAGCAGCTGTTGCTCGTCTTTGGCCCGGGGTCTCATGATGGGTCTGCTGCTGGCTAAAGCCCAGTGCTGGATCAGTGGAGCTAATGGAATCTCCGTCTGCTTATCATCTCAGACACTGCAGAGCATTGGCTCTCAGAAAATCCTGACTTTCTAACCCCCCTTCTCCCCTACCTCCTCCCCACCACCCTGGGAAACTCTATCGAGGGCTGCTATGGAGGCAGTAACACCTAAAAACTTAACATTGGTTCTTTCTTCTAGAAAGCTACGCTCAGGATCAGGTTTGGTATTAGAAGATACTGTGCTTTTATGTGGTAGTCATAACACTGCCAGCCACTAATAATTATGGCAATCAGGGGTGACATTATGAAGCACTTTTTTATTCACAAAGCATCTAGGAATCTGTATCCTCGTTTTGGAGGCCTCCGGCGTCAATCACTATTCTTATTCCACTTCCTAAAGAGGCGACCTTGACTCCTCCTATCCCACTTCTTTTCTTTTCTTTTCTTTTTTTTGAGGCAGAGTCTCACTCTGTCACTCAGGCTGCAGTAAAATGGGGTGATCTCGGCTGAGCACAACCTCCACCTCCCAGGTTCAATCGATTCTCCTGCCTCAGCCTCCTGAGTAGCTGGGACTATAGGCACGCGCCACCACGCCTGGCTAATTTTTGTATTTTTAGTAGTGATGGGGTTTCACCATGTTGGTCAGGCTGGTCTCGAACTCTTGACCTCGTGATCCCCCTGCCTCAGTCTCCCCAAAGTGCTGGGATTACAGGCATAAGCCACCGCACCTGGCCCCCACTTTTTAAAGGTGTAACCGCTCCCATTTCATATGTATAAAATGGGAGCTCGGAATTCTTCCCTGAGAGCTTATCTATGACTCTTTTTGGTGACTGGCAATATGAAGGAAAATCAGTCACACAATAAGACATCTTCAACACCCACAGTGACATATAAAATGACTTTTCTTTTTGGTACAGGACTTCAGTTCATTGTGACTGCATTGTTTTTTTCAACTGATCGGATGTTCCACTGGGCAGTTTTACATGCCTCAATGCCATTTCTTAAACATGAAAAATAAATAAGTATACAATAAATGTGGATTTTAAAGCAGATGGTATCTAAATTCCATGTAGGCTGGGGCCTAATCTGTCTTTTTCACCCTGTGTTCCTAGTGCCTGGCAAAGGGCTGGCACTAAGTGTTTCTGGACAAGTCAGCTCACTTCTCTGAACTTCAGTTTTTAAATGTATAAATGGGGATGGGATTTCCTACTCTATAGTGCTGGCTCATAATAAGGGCTCAATATATATGAATTAAATGAATAAATAAATAGACGTATAATATCGGGGTAGGAAGTAGGTAACTATAGACATTAGGCAGAAGTATGATGATAAATCGGCTTAGTCCTGATTGGTAGCAATTGCCAGTTACCTGGGTGTAAATACGCCTATCATGGCCAAGTTCACACTGCCATTAAGAAGTTACTGAACGCTGAGTTGGGAAGAGATCTGCCCAATCAGCTCCCGTGACCTGGGGCACTCCTGCGCCAGCACACCTTTGACTTGGGTAGTGAAATAGTTGCCAACCCATGCTCCATTTCCTGTTTGTTTTCAGGAAGTTTCTCCCATGGGCAGAAAGGTTTGGGGGACTTCCAGATTGGTTGAGTTTACACAATTCCACTTCTCTAGCCAATGTCAGAGCATTTTCCTTTATTTTGGCAGAGAGGAGAGAAGGGTATGAGTTGCCAGGTAGTGGATGTTGATGGAAGAACTGGTGGGTCCATTGGTTGACCACCGGTTGGTACCCTCTCATACAGAAAGTTCATCCTCTTGCCCTTTCCCACTGTGTCGATATGGGAATGAGTTTTTCCCCTCCTTTATGCCTCTAGTGATTAACCTGCACATTTTTGAGTAGGCTGTGCCAGGAAGCACCTTTGCAATTCCTGATCTTTCATAAACTTTGCAAAAGTCCCAGGTTTTTGTTTTCTTCCCAAGATTCATTTCCTACCAGTTACATCTACTATTTCCGATCCTCTCTGGCAAAATTGCAAGGAGTAGCATCAGCACATCTTTGTACAGTAGGCGAATATATTTGGAATGCTTATTTCTGAGAGCTGTTGAAGACGACTAACAATTTTACACCACACAAAAGGACTGACAATAAATTCAGGAGTGGCAAATGGAACCTCTGTTCTGTTTCCCTCTCAGTAAATAAATAACTGCAAAACCTGTGCTCCAATACCAAAGCGTCAAATCCATGGCGCTCCGTTGATTAACATTGAAAATGTCTTTCTGAAGACAATACATTTAGAAGAGTCCTAAGGCTTGCACCAGAAGCTGACACTGAAGGTTTATTTTAATGTAGCACAGATCAAAGTGAATGATGTGAAAAGAGTTCTGTTTCTCCTGGAAGGATGCCACTTGTTCCTACTCCTGGGGAAATGTCTTCCAAGCTCTTTACCAAATCTGCAAGCTAAAGCAACTCAACTGTGGCTACCCTGCCCACCTGAAGACCTCAGGATCCACCAGGAGCCCAAGACACCTCAAAAAGCTGGTGCAAGGTCAGTACCAGAAATCATGCTTTTGAGTGATTTGCAATGTCATGCAAAGCTCAGTGGAGTTTTCTGTGGCCTTGTATTTTCTTTCACATTACTGAATGCCAGTGTTTATATTGGGGCATGCTTAGAGGTGGAAATTTGGAAGGAAAGTCCAACACAGCATTTATGAAAATTGGGGATCCAGCAGTAATATCTGTTTAACAACACCAGTGGCAAGCAGATGAATGTACAGCAATCACGAGAAGTAAAACAAGAAAGATGTTAGAATGAGATGTAGGAGAAGGAGAGAAAAAGACAAGGAGGGAGAGAGGGAGCAAGTGGAGAAGGAGAAAAAAAAGTCACGGACTGAAAAACTTCGCTGTCCTTTGTAACAATGTGTTTGCACCTGCTGTTTCTTGGTTTTAGAATGTCATTCCAACTTTTCTTCGCCTAGCTAACTCCAACTCAACCTGTGACCTCACCCTACATGTTATTTTCTCAGTGAAATCTTCCATAACCCTCAAGACTGGGTCAGGTCCCCATATTATGTGGTCTGATGAAACTCTTCTTTTTTTTTTTTATAGCACACATCATGACATAATGATTATAATTATGTATCCTGGTGTATGTGATTATCTGTTACATGCTGTTCTTCCTCAAGGATCAAAAGTTCTGAACCAGTAAGATTCCAAAAATCTGGTGCCAGCCTTGGCTCTGCCCAGGGCCTTCAAGCCACCCATTGCATAGGGGAGTGATGAATGGATGAAGTTTCAGAGAACTGCGTTTTGTTATCTGAACCTTGCTGATTTAACACAGTCCTGTCCACATGCACTTACCACAGGCCAACCTTGTAAGACAGTCAAGAAAGGGGCTCACAGATGTAGGTGATGGGGAGGAAGGCAGCAAATCACACTGCCATGTGTGTACCTATGCAACAATCTTGCATGTTCTTCACATGTACCCCAAAACCTAAAATGCAATAAGATAAATAAATGGGAAAAAAAAAGAAAGGGGCTCAATCCCCATAGATTTTCACTGCCATTTATCAGGTCCCAACGGGTTCACTGATTTGCCAAGAAGAAGCACCAATGGGTCAGAGGCAGAATGTGAAAAGAATTCAGTCTCCCAACACCAGGGTCCCTCCCTCGACTCCCACTGCTCACTAGACAGGTCTCTCTGCAGAAGGGAAAGGGAAGGGTTGAGGGTTTAGGGAAAGGACAGTGGAAAGGCAGGGAGAGTAATCATGACAGAAGAGATTTACTCCTGCCTTCTTCTCCTTTCTTTTTGCATTAAGGACAAGCGTCGCCTGCACACATCAGCATGAATGGGAACATGATGAGGCATCACTTTTTCCAGGGCTATGACCAACTCCTCAGGGCAGCAGGCGAAGCTGTCCCTCTGAGTTAGCCCTTGAAGTTTTCCTCAAATCTCTTGCTGAAGGGACGTCAAGTCAGTCAGTCAACCCTAGGCTTCCACTGGGAGCTATATTCCTTCCTTCCCATACTCATTCTCCAAACATTTTTTGAGGGTCCGACATGAGCCAGGCATTGTGCTAAAAGTGGTTTGTGTAGGCTCCAGTGAGGCCTGCGGGGTGATCAGCTATCCCAGTTTTCTTGGCATGAGAGACTTTCTGTGTGCAAACTAAGACAGCTACACCCTACTTTGGGTGTGAGCTTAGGATGCAGTGTAACTTTCTGTACAGAGTGTAATTCTCAAGAATCACACCAAGACCACCTTCCTTGCTAAAATGAACATTCTCAGGCTCCAGTCTGTACCAGTGATTCCAAATCCTCTGAGGCTGGAAACCTATGTTATATCAAATCCCCCAAGTCATTATTATGCATATTTAAGTTTGAGAACAACTGATCTAGTGCTTAAGGGCACGAGCTTTAAAGTCACTCACATGTGGATTCAAATTCCACTCCCACCATTAAAAATCTATGCAAATTTTTACAAATTGCTTAATCAACGTGTACTTCAATTTCCTTATTTGTAAAATGGGTCTGATAATACTATTTCCATAGTGAATTAAATAAGAAAATGAATTAAAACCTTAGTATAATACCTGGCAAATAATTAACCATTCATTAAATTATCATTATAACTATCAATACTGAGATTGTTGCCCTGGTACTTAGATTCCAGGTTTCTGCTCCTGAATCTGGGGGCTGCTCCATCTTTTTTGATCCAATAGGCAAAATCAAGACTTTGCAATAATCATTATAGAAATGCACTTGTGTTTTCTCTTCCTTTTTTATCATTTTTCAAAGTGTATGAAGAGTTTTTTCCCATTCCTAGAAGAGGTCATACTCTCTCACACATTTGGACTCTCACATATTCTTTCCTTTGTGTTTGAAATGTTATCTCCTTAGCCTGTTGAACTCCTATTCATCCTTCAAAGCTCAGCTACATATTTCGTCTTTGGGGAAACAGCCTCAGTTTTCTCCCATTGTCTCCTACCTCTTCTCCCTGCTTATCCTACTTAGGCATACAACAAACAATGATAAGAAAGTATATCTCTCCCAATTAATAAAAGCTCTATCCTACTCTTCTGTACCAGAGGTTACCATGGCCACATCCACTTAACTATGTGCATTTATAAATAAAGTTTTATTGCAACACAGTCACCCTTTTTCACTCACATATTGTCTATAGCTGTTTTCATACTATAATGGCAAAGTTTAGTAGTTGCAACAAAAATCTTATGGCCAACAAAGTCTAAAATACTCTCTGTACCTTTACAAGAAATATTTGTTGACCCCTGATCTATATAATGATCCCATATACATAGCCTATGTGCTATGCAGCTATGTAGCAGATGCTCAAAAAGTATTTTGCATAAGTGGATCAGTACATCAGTGAATGGATTATGAGTCCATGACTATGTTATTGGTAGTACAGATTGTGTTCTCTAAATGCATTCTCTAGATCAAAGAGAGTTCCAGCCACATTTACATGAGGCACCTTGTGCTTCAATCCACAAAAAAGCAAATAATACTCAAGGCAAAGTGCTGTTGAGAAGCTTTAGCCACTTCTACAATCTTCCTTTATCCCATTTCATTATCTACGGAAACATCAAGAAATAACGGGCATCAGACACTCCAGAGATCTTTCCTAGGCTTGGTACACCCAGTTCCTGCCTTCCCAATGTGCCTAGCCTGTGAAGGTGGTGAGGCACATTGCAAAAGCAACTGTACTGACCCCTTTCTCACTTCACCTTTGCAGGCTGCCCTCACCTCAATGAGATTATTCTACTTCTAGGGTACCCAGGACAGTTCTGTATATAGAATGAACCATCTACCCACCCAATGCGAATGACTGAGGAGAAACAAATCCTCAGGAGACAGTGAGAGGATATGGCACACCAGTTATTTTTCAATGAAAAATAAAATAGAAAATCTATTCCAGAGACTAGACAAAATGCCATACTTCTAAGAAGCAGCTCTTTTAGCCATCAGCATGTGTTTAGGTTGGCCCAGAAATGAACATGGTGGTGTTCTCTTAGAGTAGCTTAGAAACCTGGCACCAAGCTCTGACTGGTGGGCTAGAAGCATCACCTCCACATCTGGGTCCTGCCTCTTTTTCCGGTCTGGCTAAGGCCTGAACAGAGAAGAGCAGGGTGAGGGTGGGGTATAATCACACTGTCCTGGAACCATCTGAAACACAGAGAAAGTCAATATCCCATTATAAAGCGAAATTCCGTGTCAGTAGTCACGAATTTCTTTGGGTCCAATGATTTCTTCAAAGAAGAGAAAAGCAAACACTGAAGAGGAAAAGCTCTCAGGAAGGTAAAGACCTGTGGCCAACGAGGCCAGACAGAATTTGGGGCCACTTTTCATTTCCTGGTAAAGAGGTTGCTTCCTAGTGGAGATACCATGGCAAGGATTTGTGGAGAGTGAGAGCAAGTAGGAGTTGCCCCAGACTCAGGAAGCCTCTTCTGTAAGCCTGAGCTTAGAGGAGTGTTCAACCAAGCACATGGAGACCCAGGGATGGGAAGAATTCACATTGCACCTCAGTGACAGCCGCAGGCCTAGAACTCAGATGGCCAGTCCCCAACACGGCATATTTGCTTGCTTATTTCTTGCCACGGTTCTACTCACACAGGCTTTCAAGGGCTCCTCCCAAATTAAAATAATGTTCTGGAAATTTTAGATTTTTTTTTTTGCCAGACCTATGAAAAAGGTAGAAAGAATATTTGTTGGAGGTGATGGAAAAAATAAAAAATCAAGGTACTTTTAAAGATGTAAAGAAAATGATTTCCAGGTAAAAGACAACCTTACTCATCTTATTCAGTGTGCCAAATGTTTATTAAAGACTTAGTGTTGGTCTTCTGCATTAATCTCAACAGGGCCCAAGGAACCACGGTGCACAGCTGCTATCCTCTATAAAATTTCAGAACCAGAGCTTTTCAGATCCAAGACACACGGACCTGCACTCAGATGCTGACTCTGCCACCCTACCACTGACTCAGTCTATGAAGGTGGACAAGTCCCACAGCACAGACAAACGTCAGCTTCCTCCTCTGCAAAACAGGGTTAACAATAGCAATCACCCTATGTATGTGTTGTAAGGATTGAGTGAGATAATATCTGGAGACACTTAGCCCAAGGCAAGGCCCAAGGTTGTTCCTCTTGTTATTTATTATTTCAGTATTTCTTTTTTCCTAGCTTCATGACCAATTGCCATTCAGCCCTCTCCTTTGGGTCCCCACAAGCCCCATCAGTAACTCCTATCTCAGGCTCCAAGCTGTACTGGGTTGACTACCATTGCCCCAAAATTCATGTCCACCTGGAAACTCAGAGTATGACCTTATTTGAAAAGAGGATCTTTGCAGGTATAATATGTTTAGGATGTCAAAGTGAGAGCTTACTGGAATAGAGTAGGCTCTACATCCATTCAAAGTGTTCTTACAAGGAAAGGAGAGGCACAGAGGGACACAGGAAGCAGGAAGGCCATGCCTGGACAGAGGCAGGGATTGGAGTGACACTGCCCGGAGCTGAAGGAGGCCAGGAGAACCAGAAGCTAGAGGAGGCTGGGACGGATTCTTCCCTGGAGGCTTTAGCAGGAGCACAGGCTGCTGACACCTCAAATCCATCTCTTGTTTTAAGGCACCAAGTTTCTCATCATTTGTTACAGTAGCCTGGAAAACTCACACACAAGTGAAGCCCCGACTCACCCTGCAGTGCCCATCCGAACACCCCTCATGTACTCTGAGCAGGGGTGAATACTCCTTTTCTTCAGGCTGGCATGCCCAGGCCCCACTAGTGTAAGTAATGAACAGATTACATATCCTTGAAAAACCTGTAGGCCCAGGCCCAGATGATAGCGATTTAAAAAAAATTTTTCTTGGAATGCGAAACAGCAATAACAACAAAAAAACAAAAACCAATCCTGAACTAGAAATGCAAGAGAAAAATGAAGCAATCAAAAATTGCACAGCTGTTTCTGCCTTCCCCTGAAGGTATGCCCAGTATGTTGTAGGTAGCTTGGTGGCATTTCATGGTGATGTTTTACAAGTTGGTTTTGGCAATAATCATATCCTTTCTTTTTTTTTTTTTTTTTTTTTTTTGAGATGGAGTCTCATTCTGTCACCCAGGCTGGAGTGCAGTGGCGCAATCTCCGCTCACTGCAACCTCCACCTCCCGGTTCAAGCAATTCTCCTGCCTCAGCCTCCTGAGTAGCTGGGATTACAGACATGTGCCACCACGCCTGGCTAATTTTTGTATTTTCAGTACAGATGGGCTTCACCATGTTGGTTACACTGGTCTCGAACTCCTGACCTCGTGATCTGCCTGGACCTCCCAAAGTGCTAGGATTACAAGTGTGAGCCACTGCAACACCCACCCTTTTTTTCTTTGTAGCTGTGAAGTCTCTGGGCTGGTTCTAGGTTCTTCCTTCTTGATCTAGAACAAATCCCGACCTCTTGGCCATACTCCTTTCCTCACCAGGGCCACCACCACCAACTCCACATCTTGTAGTCCCTCTTCCCTTCAGTCTGGCTGCCATCTACTGAATTGCCCTGGAAAAAAACAATGAAGTTTTGCCATTTAAAGCATTTCGGTGCAGCTTGCTATGGGAAAACTGGAGAGGAACACAAATGGCCAATTGTCCTAACAGTCACTATGTACTGGATGGACGCTGATAACAGGCTCAGAGCTTTCCATCTGTTGCCTCCTTTTATCCACATGAGAATCAAACGAGAAGATGCTGTTGGCATTACTGTATTTTTCTCATTTTAAAGGTCAGGATGGGGAGGGTTTAGGAGGTTAAGGAAGTTGTTTGAGGTCACACTGCAGTTAAGAAGGGAAAAAGGACTTAGAAATTTATTATTCCCACTTTAGAACTAAGGTCAGTGACCAAGGCCCTGCTTAGAACTTTCTGAAGGTCGCAGCTGGCCTCTTACCTGGAGTTTTGAGTTCCTTTCTGAGATAGGAACTTGACTGGCAATCATGAGAAAGTCCGGCACTTCTCCTTTATATTTTAAACATTCATTTATTTTTAAAAAGTATTTTAATTTACAAATAATAATTGTATACATTTATAAGGTATGATAAGATATTTTGATACGCCTACCTTGTGAAATAATTAAATGAGGCTCATTACCAAGTCTGCTACCTCACATATGTATTTTTTGTAGTAAAACATTCAAAATCTGTCCTTTTCACAATTTTGAAATACACAATGCATTTTTAAAAGTTATGGTCTCCATTCTGTGCAGTAGGTCACGAAAGCTTATTTCTCCTATCTAACTGAAACTTTGTACCCTTTGATCAACATCTCTTTTTTCCTCACCCACACCCCTCCCCAGTCTCTGGTCACCAACAGTCTATTCTCTGCTTCTTTGAAATCAACTTTTGTTAGATTCCACGTACAAGCGGGATCATGCCGTATTTGTCTTTCTTTACCTAGCTTATTTCACTTAGCATGATATCCATCCTCCAAGTTCATCCATGTTATTGCAAATTACAGAATTTAATATTTCTAAAAGGCTGATAGTGTTCCATTGTTTATAAAGACCACATTTTTAAAATCCATTTATGTGTTGATAGACATTCAGTTTGATTCCATATCTTAGCTAATATGAATAATGCTGCAATGAACTTTAATGTGCAGATATCTCTTTGGTATACTGATTTCAATTCCTTTGTGATATACCCAGAAGTGGGATCTCTTTTATTTTTTGAGTGGGTGATCTAACTCCAGCCTCTCAGCTCTTTCTCTGAAAATCAGTGTGAGCTATTGCCAAGTAGAATCTATTCAGCGAGAATTTTGTTTGGGAGGGATCTCTGAGGACTTGCAGGTTAGGAGAAAATGTTTTTTCTGGACCTCTGCAACAACACAAGCCATTTTGTTGGTGAGCATTCCTAGAAGTAATTCTAGGTAACAGGTGTTCCTTGATCAAAAAAAAATTTTTTTTTTTCACAAGCAAAGACTTGTAAGATCCTGCCACGAAGGTTTTATATCTGCTGGATTTCAGAGCCTTCTGTTTGCTGACGTAGTTTGGGGATCTCTAAAATGCTGCTATGATATGCAACCATTATTTGATAACAGAACCCTCTTTCCATGAAATGTAGCTAGGTTTGAGCTTCCAAGAGCAACTTGGTGGACACATTACTTTGTTTTTGTCCTTGCAATTAGCATTTTCTTCTCTGTGACTTAGGGAGGTGTGACCATGTATTTCCTGGGAGTTCATTATTTTCCAAGTCTGATTTATGTAAATATCAAATCACTTACAAGACATGGCAGACCTTCTCGAAGATGAAATTCATCATGACTTCATCTTTCTTATAATCACCCAAATGAGTTCTGAAGTGTGAGCCTTTCGCTGCTGAAAAATAGGAAACAGAGTCAAGCTTGGCCCTATCTTCAATTGTATGTGACAGCTTCTGCTCAGTTTCAGTGACAAAAAATGTGTTGAGCTAAAAATATTCTAAGCAGATGTGAATCTGGGCAATGTGACTGCAACACACCCCTGCCTGCGATTTTTTCAACTTCTAGTGTCTCTCAATGCACAGTTGCTATAATCTCAGGCCACCACAGCACCCTCTGCATGCAAGTTATTTATGTAAGTCCATGTCTGAGGCCCCTGGAGGTAGCTTGGTGGAGAATACCCCTGCATCAGCCAGCCACAGTGGCTCCTAGCAGCCCCAGAATGGATGGGAAGAAAGAAATTCCATCACAGGTTAGGACCAAGTTCCACTTACGCAAATGCTTGCGCATTTGTTTTTTTTCCTCCAGTCTTCCATATCATTAATAAGAGCTTGATTCTATCTTCCACTTGGAAGACACATGACCCCCATGATTCTGTAGAAGAAGTGGGTTTCAACTTAGTCCAGGAGATCTTGCTGCCCATGGGCAAAGGTGGAATCTACCCTCCATGCAAAATGGTGTGTGGGACTCTCTTGGGGGTTAGAGTCTTGTCTGGAAGCTGAATTATTTTAAGAAGGCTCTTGGCTCACCTGCAGAAGATAAAAGCTAATATCTATCTTTTAGAGAATGACAAACAATTACTATACTTCACTGAACACATCTTGTATACTAGGCATAATAGCCAATTGCAGCTACTTTTATTTATTGGGCTCTGTCATCGATGCTTTTGGATACTGTCTTAGTGTCAAGCCATCATCGTGCTTTAGCTCACTGAGATGTGAGTTTGTGTTTTGGTGGAGCCAATGTAGGTCTTCATATCTCTTCTTTTCAACTTAGGATTTTCTAGGAATCTAAAAATGCATGTGAGACTTAACCTGTAAAAGCTGAGTTACTCTGGATCCAAGTTTTCCTGAAGATTTTTCTTTGTGTGGTCAGCTTGCTTGGAAAAATCCAGAAACCAACATGAACTTATAACCCTGCCCAAATAAATGTAATATTTCAGATGGAAATTGAGAGCTGGTATATAGGACAAGGATAACTGACCCAATACAGATACATGTCCTTTGAGTAGACCACTCTGATTATCCTTAAGGAGAGCTTCAGTATAAAGCCTAGTCAGAGTCGATAGAAGTTTAGACTCTCAAAGAGTCAGCCAGGTTCCTCGTGGGAAGCCCCTACTTGACAATCCTGCATTACAGAATTTGACATCTGGCTCTGTTAGCTACAAGCTTGACTTCATTCCTATAATCCTCCATTTCATCATCTTTAAAGTGGGGATGAATTGTATATAGACAGACAGAATAGATGTGAGGTCATCATGCCACACTGCACATAAGTGCTTAGCATGTAATGAGCACTACACAAATGGCTGCTTCCATTGCTACTGACAAGGGTGCAACTGACTGGGAGAGTCATCCATCTATCTTCTATGTGCTAACTGAGTGCATGCCTTTCTTACCTCTGCATGTTAAAGCTTTGCCAGCAAGAGTGGCAGCATCTCAGGCTGAATCAGCCCTATCCAGGACTTGGCCACGCTGCATTCCCTGAGCCGGGCCCCGACCTATGAGTCACACAGCCTTCTCCATGCGGACACCACAGCAAATCACTTTTCCCATAATGAACAACCAGACACACTCCATTGTGGTGATGGAAAGTAATTACGAACGTAAATGATCTAACCAGACATGGGTTCCACCATGGTTTAACCCCTGGTTTCCTTTTTTGCACAGTAATCACACACTGTCCTGTGGCAGACACTGGGGAGGAATCATTACAGAGAATTATGTGATCCATCTGCCCACTGAACCACAAGCTGGGGTACAGGCAGGGGTATGGCACATCTGGCTTTATTTTGGGGTCTGATGACACCAGGAACATGGATAAATGCCCTACCTTAAGTATGGGCTGTTCCAGGTCCAGGAGCAAATGTCTTACAGGCCACATTCCCTCTTTTCCCAGCCAGAATGGAGGTTTCCATTCTGATGTGATATGGCCACAATATCATCAGAACTACCAGCACTCACGTTCCCCTCGCTGTGACCCCTGTAGCTCAAAGCACAGCTATCTAGCCTATGGTCTGGACAGGTCAATGTGATTCTAGTAATTCTGTTACCACCTTTGCAATTGCTCTTTATGCTAGCACAAACACTGCTCCTAGTTCCCCGATGCCATGGCTAGGCAACCTCTATTCTGTGCCAAGCACTGACCTAACCACTTTCACATATATTTTCTCATTTCATCGCAATGAGATTATACTGATATTACTCCCACTTCCTAGATAAATGTACTGAGACTTGAACAGGGTAAGGTGACATGCCCAAGGTCCCGTAGATAATACAAAGCAAAGCCAGAATACCAACCCAGCTCACATGGCTCCTGGGTCTAAGCTAGTCGCAGCATATGCAGTAACAGATCCATGTTACAAACATCAGAATAGTTGAACAGATTTTATTAATCTAACACTTAGGAAATCTAACTAAGGCCATTTGTTGATATTAAAATTGAACAAAGAAGATTGCAGTTATGAATAAATAAATTAAGCAGTTTTTGGTATAGCAAGAGAATCCTGACGTTTGTCGCCATTATTTATTAATTTAATTTGTGTTTTGAGACAGGCTCTCACTATGTCACCCAGGTTGGAGTGCGGTGGCACAATACCCACTCACTGCAACCTCCACCTCCCTGGTTCAAGTGATTCTCCTGCCCCAGCCTTTGGAGT